TTCCTTCAGCGAACCTTTCCATAGCTGCTGGACATTCACATCATTCTATTATGTAATTGTTTCCCAATATAGGTATCAAACTGTCATTTGCTTCAAATGCTTCATAGACATCAATGTCTAGATGCGACCGGGCGAAGTCCAATGTCTCCTCGCTTATGCGGGCACAGGGAACCGCTATTGATTCATACCGAGACGGCAGTTTTGATATCGATGGAAGCTAAAAGACATGAATGGACGCTATGCTATCATTGCATTGATATAAAAGAAAGATAGTGTTAAGTCGTGCTATTTTGTGGAGAAACTAGATTAAATATAGTTGGTGCATGTCTTAGATAGCGTATCTTTGCGTCACGTGGATTCTATCAGTTGGTAGACGTTTCTCAGATTTCATCCAGAAGAGATATCATCATCCTTGATTGAGAGGTCTTCTATTCTTTTTCTTTATATTTTCTAGGAGATTATGTACATTGGTCCATGACTCATGATGGGTTAGTTATTTGCCGTATCAATCCAAAAGACAAATACCAGTTCTGTCCCATATTGTGACGTCCACTTGTGTTCATTTTAAATCGACGTAGTAATCCGCGACCTCATATTGTCTAGAACCAACTCAGGAATTCGGCTTCTCCATGGGGCAGCGAATGTGGACATTGCATCAAGCGAAAAGCTGGCCACGGTGGTCGACGCTGTTGGACTTTCCGGTGTTAATCTTATGGACGGGATGATACGGTCCACTGCATCTAAAGTTGTCGTCTTTCTTCAGTCAGAAATTGCCATGCCTTCACTCATATTCGACGTACTGCTTACAATTGTAGAGCTGAGGGTTCGTTCTAGGATCGTTTGCTCAATGCTTTTGAAGTACTATGCAGGTTAACTTGGGCATTTAATTACCCATGCAGCCGAATCTCACCTTCACCGTCTTGACTTGCAGCTCCAAAGTTGCATCTTCATCAACAACTATGGTAGCTTTTGGATGCAACTGTAGACAGGATAAGGTCCACATGTGATTTAAGCCATCTTCGACACACTTTTTAAGGGCTATGGACTTATGTGCTCCGGTGACGATAATAAGGACTTCACGGGCCTCTTAGATATTAGCCCAATTGCAAATGTTTACGGACGCGAATTCCTTACCTCCATAATTGTTTGCACTCCAACCGTCAGAGCCATCCTAGGCACTTTGTTGCAGTCATTATCAAAAAATCGAGCATTTGCCCTGATCGTGTCGTGGGCTAGCGCTTTCATCCGTGTTCGAGAAGACAGACTCGATCCGGGCTCATTAAAAGCGATATGACCGTCAGGACCCATTCCTCCAAGGAAGAGGTCAATCCCACCAGCCTTGGCAATTGCTTTTTCATATGAACGACACTCAGCAGCCACATCTGGCGCATTGCCATCGAGCAGGTGAATGTTTTCGGGGTTGATATCAATGTGATTGAAGAAATTATCGAACATGAATTGACGGTAGCTTTGTGGGTGTCCAGAAGGGAGGCCAACATATTCGTCCTTTTCTTGTCAGTGAAAGCTACCCTACACGCCGAGGTAAACGCCCATAATTCAACTCACCATGTTAAAAGTGACGACATTTTGGAAGCTGAGGGTTCCATTCTTATACATACTCACCAGCTCCTGGTATACTTTCAAAGGGCTACTTCCTGTCGGAAGACCAAGAACAAAGGCTTTCTGATGTAAACTGAAGCTTTTTATCTGCCCTAAATCAACGCAGAAAGCGTTCAGAAAATCAACATGGAGAGAACAGCTGGGCTAATTACCTGCGATATAACGAGCAATATATTGACTTACGAGAATATCGTCCTCTCTCACGATAAGTTTCATTTTGAATTTTGAGGAGAACAACCATTCGGCAATCCGATAGTGAATATGATTTACTTTGACGTGTATCAAAGTTGCCTTGACCAAGTAGCTGTGACTTTTGAGTCAACTGCTCTCGAGGGAAGCGTAATTCTCCGTGACAGCTGAAACATCGTCATAGAAAGAGCGTTCACCGATGATGTCGTTTCCGTTATCATACCGGAGCCGTGGTCGAGGTTCGCTCTCCTCAGAGCTAGGGCCTCGCTAGGTCCCACATCACTGATGCGTGAAAGATTGGTATGACTGGGGCCATGTGTAACGCTGCTCAAATGGCGCTTTAGCGCTTGTAATCTTGGCTAACTTGTTGGCTATGGCACTCGAGTTTCTAGGCTCAAAACATCATGTGTAGATGGCCAATAACCTCGATTACTTTGCAAATGAAGAACAAAATGTCTGGCGCTAAAAGTCATGACGATTCATGACACCAAAATGAGGCTGCGAGAGCATTAGGAATATCATATAAAATTACTGAGCCACGCCATACGGATGAGGAATCCAGGTTACCTCTCTACTGAGTTACACCTATTGATGCCCTGCGTGTGCCTAGATTGTGGTTTATTAGATCAGTCAAGAACCTAAATCTGAAGGCTTTCGCCTATTCATCGCTGCTTGAAACTATTAAAATGGCAACGTTTATTTTCGTGTAATACACAACACTTATTCAGTTAAGCGTCATTCTGTAATGCTGATGGATGTCTCGAGTGAACGATTGATTGCCAGATATTGCCTAGCTGTCTAGGGATAAACTTGTTTGCCGAATTTCCAAACTTGATCAACGCGCAATTCCTGCTGATTAGGAATATTTTCCCATGACAGAACTACTAGGTCAGCGTCAGCTCCTGGCCTTAGGGTTCCTTTCACGTCCTCCATGCCGAGAAGTCTGGCGGGATTGCACGTCACAGTCTTCAGGGCCCTAGCAACATCGATTCCAGTCCAGCGAACTAAATTCGAGACGCATTGCAGTAGTGTCGTTGTTCTAAGAGAGTCATGATGGTCAGTTGTGGCCGCTGAAGTAATGTACACAATGACAGCGTCCTTACCCGCCTGCAATGGTATCGGTCCCCTCAAGAAATAATTTCCTCCCACTCTTGACAACTCGCCGCCCAGGTTTCGACTCGTATACGCCATCGGGAAGAGACATACCCGTAGCGGAGGTACCATCTGTTGTGATGATGCATCCGTCCTCATGGGTCGCCCAAGCAGCACGTACGCAGCTCGGGTGTACATGGATGTCATCTGTAATGATGCCGAAGAACGGACGACTTGTTTTACCACGGGTCGTGGGTAAGTCGGATTCAGGGGCGCCGATCAGTCCCACTAAACCAGGGTTGCGATGAAGAAAGGGCTCCATTGCGTTATACAAATGCGTCAACATGGTGGCGCCCGCGCGGACACCCTCAAGACCTTGCTCATAGGTTGCACTTGAATGCCCAAGAGAACATATAATTCCATATCTCTGGGCCAGATCTCGGATCGTGTTGTACATTCCTGGCAATTCGGGCGCCACGGTTATTTTTTTTATGATAGCTGGACGGGGGTTTTGACACTCCCCTTCTCCGTCTCGGAGTTCTGTGAGATTGTCTAGGCCATAGAAATCTTCAATTGTCTTGATTCCGTCATTTGGTGTTTGAAGTAGAGGCGCAGGGTGCGCTCCTATTTTTCCTGAACTAATGAACGGTCCCTCGCAATGAACACCTAGAGACTCAGCGCCCAAGGATGCATCTCGTAAATGCCCGTTGGGTGCTACATGCGGAAGTGCCTGTTGGAATCAGTTTATTGCCTTGATGGAAGGTCCAACATCTTACGCGCTTGAAGTCGTCTGATTTTGCTGTTACCAAAGTTGGCAGGAAGCTGGTCACTCCGGTTTTTATGAGGCCAACAAACGTATTTCGCAGGCCTGTAATATAGCCTTCCATCCCTTCATCGGTAGCAGGAACGTCTGAAAAATTGACGCCAATTGCGCCATTGAGTTGCACATCGATCAATCCCGGTGATAATACACGTCCTCCTAAGTCGATTGTTGTCGTGACTTGCTCAGCACTTGGCTCTTCGAGTATTTTCCCGCTTGTTCCGCATATATATAGGTCTCTCGTTATCGATTCACCATCAAAGGCGAGCGTACAATTCGTGAACCGGACCAATACCGGCGTATTTGATCGAGAGTCCATTTTCAAGGACCAAATGCAGCAGACTGCTGGATGTCTTAGGACTCAATGACATTCAGAAATACGTTAAGCACAATTCATTTTTGGAGAGCTAACGAGCCGCGTTAATCACTTGACAAAATTGGATAACCCCAGTACCAGCCTTGTCACAACCGGAACATAAGACCGGTCATATTCGAGCGCGATAACTCAAAAAGCTTCTCAGAAACCTGGTGTTGACTAATTACCTAGTCTGCAAACAAGCATTGCAACCTTGGAATGATGTGCTAGCGCATCATGCATGCATGAAGTGGATTTGGGGTCAGGTGAAGTATTGGAGTGGAGAATATGGCAACGTTGCACATGTGGAGAGATGTGAGCCACCCACGCTCTTTTTTCGTATTTGTGTACTTTTGCTGATAGATGAGCTGTTATTTCTTGCCAGTGCTAAGTAAATCCCCTGCGCTAGCTATGAACATCAGATTTAAATGCTAACTAAATCGTCACACTATGTAGCATCCACACCCAGTCATTGTTCGTGGTAACACATGAAATATCTCCGAACCTACCGCGTAGTTGGCGGAATGGCTCGCGTCTAACAGTGTCAAATTCCACTTTTCAAGTATCTAAGCTCTGAGGCGTTTTCCCTAGGCCCACATGCATCAGACAGGTTTCATCCTAGTTCTAGACTCTCTGCTCGAGCTTGATATGCTACATCACGTGGAACCAATTTCGTTACTTGAGATGCTTGATGGACAACCGGTCTTCTAAGTCCCTGACTGCGAGACGAATACCTTTGGTCCAATAATGACATTGCCAGGCCAGCAGCGGCCCGCTGTAGCAGAGTTCAATGACAAGAAAGCTTTCTTCGACAATGTTGAGTCCAGTTTCCAGCATGGGCTCAATATCGAGACGCTCTATATTCAATCATGCGAACTTGCTCAGTCACTAAAAGCGAATCTGAGTGACACAGAATCACTATCGATGTTACCATCCTTTATTGACCGCGCACCATCTGGCAAGGAAGAGGGCAGTGTCATTGCCCTCGACATCGGTGGTTCAACGATGCGCGTGGCATTGATCAAGCTCAACCCAACCGCCAACAGTGTCGCAGATCGTTTGAAAGTGGAACGGAAACAGCAGTGGTTAATCGAGCAATGCGTCAAAGAGCTGTATGCAGATAGGTTTTTCGACTGGATCGCGCAGAACGTTAAAACTTTCTTCGAGAACCAAGGGATGACAATTGATGGTGAGTTATCAAGCATCCCCCTTGGCTTGGTATGGTCATTCCCACTAGAGTCAGTACCCGTTTCCACGCTATAGTAAAGCTATATTTTTATTGACTTAACAAAAGCCAGAAGATGCTCAATGACGGCGAGCTCAAGGATATGGGGAAGGGTTTTAGAGTAGGCCTGGACCTCAAGGGCAAGAGTATCAACGCATGCTTGTCTGCAGCTTTTGAGAGGCTGGTGCGTCTGGCAAGAATGCAACTTCGTTTCTCATGACAGGGACTAAAATATTCCAGGAGCTTCCGATCCGCCTCGAAGCAATATTAAACGACAGCGTGAGCGTGCTTCTCGCGATGTCTTATACCGAGCCTTCTACAGAACTGTCTGTGGTGGCAGGAACTGGCTTCAATGGTGCTCTTAGACTTCCTACTTGTTCGTTATCTCCGCTGAAGTATGACAAACGGTCGACGGATTGGACAAGATCAGCACAGCACGTTCTTGTAGATGCCGAGCTCTGCGTGACCGGTCAGAAAGTATTTCCCAAAACTGATTGGGATCGCGCTATCTCCGCAATGCTCCCTGATCCTGATTTGCTAGGTCTGGAACAATTTGTCGGCGGATTTTTCATCGCTGAGATAATCCGGCAGGTTGTTGTCGACGCAATCCAGAAGGTAGCATACTTTGATGGGATTTTACCATCGCATATCAGCGACCCATTTACTTGGCGTCTAGAGAATGCTGCTTTGCTGATGATGTGAGTGCCTTGACTGATCATCTTCTATATCTTTGATATATACTAATCCTTTCTCACGGATGTAGAGATAGTTTGACGATGCAGGATAACATCAAGTCTCGGCTCTCTGCTTCCTTCGAACTGACCTCAGATATGTCCAACGAAGACTTTGGCTACCTTCGCAAGGTATGTAAGGCAGTAATGACACGTGCGGCAGCGTTCTTATCGGTTGCTGTGCACTCGATGCAAATGCTCCACGATTCTACGCATAACGATCAGTGTCGCAGGAATATAGAGATCCCTCACGACAAGACACCCAGCCCTTATATCACGGTGTCATGCCTCGGGTCGGTGATCGAAAAGTATCCTGGTTTCCAGCAGCAATGCCAAACATACCTTGATAATCTACAACTCAAGGCAAGCGTTTCAACAGGGTTGGCTATTCCAAACCTTAAACTTGCAGTGGCTCAGGAGTCTAGCTTGACTGGAGTTGCGGTCGCCGCATTAATGGCTCGCTCTTCTCACGATATAAGTATCCCAACAATGACAACCGCCACCACGCCAAGAACGACTTCCGATGAGCTGTCAAAAGACATGAGACATAGGCCGCAAGAGTCAGAAGCGATTCCAGTTCAATTCACCACGTCGAATTCAGACAAATCCAACAAGGTAGTCTTTGAAGTACACAACAGGAGCAGCGAGGGACTGAATTTTTGCGCTTCTCGGAGCAAAAACTTGTATTGGACATATCTCAAACCACGTAGATTCAAGCATCCGAATCACATGCGTCAAGCAGTAGGGCGGTGGAGTTGGAGAACATCGATTGGAGACTGGTTTGGTTTGGGCGTTAGTAAAAAACTAAATACACAACACGATGATGCCATCTCCGGGGATTAAAGTATTGCTATATACTCCTCCGCCAGGGTAATAGACATTAGTTCGACTTTATCAAAAACGCTTTAAAGTAGGATTACTACCTTTCTAGAAGCTAACGGATCTTTGGTAATGAACAGAAGTCTTCGAGACATGAATAAATATCAGAATCCTTGTCATTAAGTACTGTGATTCTTGAAGAATTAAACATCTATTACCCTGGTGGAGGAGCATATCCAGCACCACTTGTTTGCCATGAGTATGGCACATATCTATGATACAAACACATGCCAGAAATTAGATTCCTCTGAAAAAGAGCCAACTAGCTCTAGCTCTACAATGAACCTTTGTTAAACCAGAACTGAGTGGTACCGTTTTGTGCTTTGCGTGGCTTGTGGTGATTTTGCGCCTAATTGTGATTTGTTCTATGTAGGCGATTTGTGTGTGTGGCTCCATGGATGTGGCCAATAGACTGGTTCGACAGGAGGTAGCCATCCATCAAGTCCAATTGGAACATATGTGTATCGTCCTCTTCTGTGGAGGGCGGAGGGCCCACTACTTGAATCTGTTACGGTACTAGGAGTGACTTCAAGGGCCACCGTTTCTTGCCTAAATACCGCTGGGTCTGAAGTTGGCTCGTTTCGATAGATCCTTTCTGGGCTGTTTGTCACATGGATAGGTTCCTGAGAAGCCTCTCGTACAGATTGCTGGGATGAAGTATACACAGGTGGTGGCGACCTGTTGCGTCCTGTGAAATCTCCAAAGCCAAGGGCTGGGTTTCCGGACGTTTCCAATAAATTTGCATTCACGTCTGGCCAGCTCAGTATTCCGTCCTGTCCGGTCTCTAGGTTCAGGGGCTGCGCAGGGGCGAAATGGTCTGGCGCCGCCATTCCGCGCAAGATCTCGCTCTGCTCGAAGATGTCCGGGTCGAAATTGTCCATCGTGACGGCACTGATATCTATCCAATCCCACATAGTCGGTGAGTAGATTACTTGGCTTTGGCTGCAGCTGCCCTCTGTCGTAGCTTCGGAAAAGGACACCGCCGGTGGATGCGTCAGCGTTGCATCACCTGGAAATTGATCTTGAGCACCTTTGTGCCCCAACTCATCGTGCTGTGAGACGAACGGCGGTACCAGACTTGACGAGTATAGCGGTTGGTCGTTTCTGGATTGGAAATTTCCGGGAGTACGTCCTCGTACACTCAGAAAGGAAGATGATGCCATTGCGATACATACTTGGGATCCGTCAACCTTTTTTGCGAATACTGAAACATCAACCCTGAATTGTTGCCGAATTTCACGTCGCTTGCGGCCATTGTTCGCAGTGGCAGAGCGGAACTGCAGTCGATCCCAAGAGATTGGGATCTTGAAGCGTTCTTGCTCGTTGGAAGTGCTCGATTTCGCAACTGTCAGCTCCTCGTCGGGAGGCCCATCTGAAGATGCAGAAGCTGCTGGATCTCTGCTAGGTGCGGACAGTATCGCGACCTTCTTCCAGTCTCGCGACTCAACAGCAGTTAGTTGCACCGTCAATTGTGTAATCGTCTCCCGATCCGAAGCCGTACAGGACAAAGATGTAGGCCAGGAGCTCAGGGACACGTCCCCAGCAACCTGGAAGCGATTGCGTCGGTAACATGTGAGAACATTCTCGAATCGTCCCCCGTCTTCGGCTATCTCATAGGATAGCACAAACAGACCTTGCAAGTATGCGTTTACTGAGATGACTACCTGGCACTCTGAAACATCGTACACAGGGGAGAGTGAAGTTGTCGGACCAAATACAAGTTGATCATCACTTGCGCATCTGAGTTCATCTAGTGCCCTGGTGCCATCTGTCATTGCGAGATCGCGTAGATACCTTGAGTTGGCTGATATATGCGTTCTTCACTATCTGAAGAGGCTGTTTATCATGATCTCAGTGACTGATCGAGGATCCTCAAGTGCTAGATTGCGTCGTGCAACGCGGAGGTGTGCAGTTTGTTTTGGGTTATCTTCTGATCTGACACTAACAAATTAGTGAGTAAACCCAAGTTGCTATCATTGACCAGCGCTATATTAGGCTTACCAGAAAGTCTCTAGCACTGTATCCTTTGGTTATGAGCCAAGTTGCTTGACAAAATGATGGTCCTGTCTTCCAATTGGAATACCATGGTAGTCAATTGGTAATAAACATCAATAACAAACAAAAACCTTATTAGCATTCCTACTAGGAGGGCTGTTATTTCGGTCCCCAGTTGTTAGCCTAGGTAATAATCACCGCCGCCTATGCTTTGTAACTTTTAGAGCATCACTTGCACTCGATGTAGATGATCTGGGCCGGCAACTCTCAAACTGTTTAGCAATGCGCAGATCACGCATGCTGATCACAGCAGGCCAGTTGCTAGCGAACTGCATAATTCGCACATATATAGGGGTATCAATGGAGTTATCTTCCCACAGCGTAGGCGTGGAGGCGCATCAAACCAATCACATTTCCTCGAAGAACCCGCCGCCGTCGCCATTGCTGCCCTCACTTTCATTTGCCTCATCTTTTTGAGTATGTCCTCTGCCACCCCGTTCAAAGTCATGCCATTTCCGATCGTTGCGAGTTTTGACCGGGCCATCCCGCTTCGTCGATTTTTCTCGCTTCGCTTTCGCAGAGCCATTGTCAGTGGCTGGTTCAACAGAGGCTTTAGTGACGGAGTTCTCTCTGGGCTGTCTATCTCTCAGCCTTTCTAGGGCCGGTTTTCCCTCTTTCATCGCTTCTTCGACCACTTTCCATAATGGTGGACGCTCCGCCTGCAAGCTGGATGCTGCTGTACTCTTTTCATCTTCTGCGGTTTCCGACTTCGCATTCGCGCGTGGATAGAGACTTATATAAGGCTCGAGGTACGGAAAGTATACTGTGTAGTTGATGTCGACTTCGCATATGTGAAGATTCCTCTTGATTTCGGGCATCTCCTCCAGACTCGCAGTTTCCAATCTCTTTCGTAGTTGTTTCTGTAGCCTCTGCGCTTTTTTCTTCTCTAACAAGGGACCCTTTGTCAGATCGTTTCCGGTTCCAAGTGGACATAGCCCTCGGCAAGTGAACTTACCAAAAAATCTGACCATATGATACTTGCTGATCATCTTCTGCCTCAGCTTCCTGCCTTGAACCTCTTCGACTCTCCGCTGCAAAGCGGCGAGCTCACGCTCTAATTTCTGCTGAACATCCGCCGGCAAGTCATCACCCTTCTTCAGACGTCGCTCAATTGTGCGGGCGCGCTTTTTCGCCGAATTGATGCTATTGTCTTTGACCTCGTATGTCTTGGTGCTTTTTCGTTTTTTGTGTTGCGAGAAACGGCCTTCGCTCCCTGTAGAATCTACAGAGGAGTAGGGTCGTTTTGAGCCCATGGCGAGGTGTAGGGAAGGTTCGTGATGCGAGAGGATGCAATGGTGTTTCCTCTTGGGCGTAAGCAGATGGTTTGCAGGTGCGAGAACATATTTTTTTTGGCGATTCGCTCTATTCGAGGTTTCCTTATCGCTTTTATCGGCGGGTCATCCTAGTAGCGGAATGGCCCAATCAGAGGTGGCCCCTACCGCGGGGCCACCTGCACAGACCTTCCCGTCCACCTATGTTTCCTTCCCTGTCTGTGGATAGGTCGAGTGCAGCTAAGCATCCCAACACCTGCATTCGCGAACCTCAGAGCTTGTGCCACTCTGTATAAGTCACAAACCTCATCTCACCGATGGACCCTCAACCAGAAAGTGGTATTCTGCGCCTCTCATCGACACAAACACAATGATTGAGCCGATCCTAGCATTGTCACTAATTTGAAGAGCTGATGACCTTCCCCTACCTCAATTCTACCTGGTCATCTTAGGGAGCTTGTCACAAGGTGTTGAGAGCTCTCAACTTTGGAGCTGGTCGTACATCCTTCTTCTATCTGCAGTTCTGGGCAATACATAATCGTTTGGAGGACTGAAGAGCCGAAATGGATCGCCCGGAACCAGGTCTTGTCAAATGGTCCCCTAACACGTCCCTCGATTCTTTCTTGCACATCAACCTGCAACATCGCGTAGTACAGCTCTATGAGCCCACTGGGCGTGCACAACGCGGAAGATTTGAGTACAGAAAGATCGCCAAACATGACGACGTTCCGCCTCTCACGACATACGACTGGTCACCATCGGTACCAGGGTTAGTGGCCGTGGGGACGTCAACAGGCATTGTCAACCTCCTAAGAGTCGACGACAACTCCAATGCCTACATGGAGCTAGGCCTAAAGATGTCACGAACATGTCAAGCCGTTGCATTCAACACAGCTGGACTTCTAGCTGTTGGTCTTGACCGCGTGAGAAGCGATCAGTGCCTTCACATATGGGACGTGAGCCGTTTGTCCCGTATTGACTCATCGACGCCGGGATTTTCATCCGGCGTGGAGCCCTTCACAGAACCGACACGACGATTGGAAGCCAGTATGTCCATATCAAGTGTCAAGTTCTTCGAAGACAATCCCCAGACGCTAGTAGTCGGTATCAAAGCCCAGGGACTTCGAATCCACGATCTCCGAGGTGAATTTCACTCATGCTGATACGCAATATCCTCCACTAACATGCCGCAATAGATGATAGCCCTGGGGTGATCAATTTTCAGACAAAATGCAACAACAACCTCGCTATTGATTACGCAGACCAGAACTACTTCGCGTCATCCGCTCTGGATCAGCCAGGCGTCATGGTGTGGGACCGGCGTGCTACCCAGCGGCCTGTGGCCTCCCCATCGTACCTGGATGCGCTAGATGCAGATGATCTCCCTTGGGGAGGTGCGCTCAGACTCGATCGAGTGATGGAGACTGAATCTGATCCACAGGCTTTGAGCGACCGTAACTCATTCATTAGAGTCCTCAGATACTGCCGAGACCATAGGGGCATGCTTGCAATTCTCTCTCGGACAGGGCAGCTGAAGATCTTGTCTACTCAAACAGAATTCACCCCTCCTGACTTGGAAACTGTTGATAGCCCTGAGCTATTGCAAGTCAGGAAGTCCCATGAGATGGACAACTTCTATGCTGATTCAAACCGTAAAAATGACCGAATTGTATCCTTCGACTGGCTGAATATGGGATCACCTGCGCTGCGGCCAAGGTTGATCGTCTTACGTGCAAGCGGAGCTTTCGATATTCTTGAAATACCTTCGTTCACAAGAACATATCCGTACAAACTCACTCCATGGCAGGCACCCTATCGCGGCTTAGCAGGTATGGTTGGTCCTAATCTAAAGTCGATTCGTGTACTGACAGACGTTTAGAGGGAAGTCGATATCACAGCATCATGGACTTTGAGCAGTCACAGATTGCTGAAACTCTGGGTCCACTCTTCATGGAAGATGCTCTGACTGATATTCCGGTCTTCGGGCCTGGAAAAGCCGACATTGGCCCCCTTATTCACAATGCTCTACATTCTCAGGTCCCGGAAGAGGATCTACTCGTCGACAGGGAAGCGAGCGAGCAACCACTGCCGAAATCCTTTTTCGAAGCAACTACCATCGCAGACAAATTAAAAAGCCTCAGAGACTATGCTAAGGAAACGTCAGTCGAAAAAGGCGACATGCAGGGAGTGTCCGAAAAGGCTACAGCAAAGGAATTAGTGAAAGGAGTGGATACATTGTCTCTTGGTCCACCGTCGCATCGCGAACTGCATGAGAACGTTCTCAAGACTACAATGGATACCAAAGGCTTCCCCAAGGCTGCTCAAATGGTTCTTGACCATGTGATGCTTCTTCGCGCAAAAGAGAAGTACCTCTTTAACTACGAGATGAATCGCCGCATTGTGGCTGATGATCTTTGGTTGCGGGATGTGTGGGACTGGATAGGCGGTAAGCTGCAATCTGTTCTTCATAGTTTGGCATACTAATAAATGGAATAGGCGCTGAGGAGGCTATCCTTGATGAGGGGATGTTCTCTCATCCCTTAGATCTAAGCTACATGGGTGTTTATACTATATGGATGGATGATTTAGGTTCGTCCACCATGGCATTTCAGGTTGATCAAGACTTATGCTAACCTCATATAGGTAAGAAGCCAAGCACAAGACTGCGTGATGGCACGATCACCCCTGATGTTTCTGTCTGGGAGCGTTGTATCAACGCTATAAATAAAAAGCGTGGTATCTCAAAGTTTGATGGGGTGGATACTAAGAAACCTCATCATCGAGAGTTATGCCTGGACATCTGCGGGTGGGGCAGACCACGAGACTGGGACGCTGAGAATCTTGCCGACAGTGACGTTGCCAAGAAGCCTTCAACCTGGCATACCAGAGCAACAGCATACGCGCTGTTTAGAGGAGACTCCAAGGCCGCCGTGCGCATACTTAAGCGGGCGAGCACAGCGTACCCTGAGCTTCTTTTCGTCTCTCTTGCCCTGCAGCTTATTGGCAGGGGAGACCGCGAATATGCCGCAGAGCAATTGGACTTTGACGAGACGGTGGCTTCGAAGACGGATCCGTACTTGAGGGCTATATCCTCTCTCATCGCAACAGGTGACTGGGCAACCATCGCCAACCAGACATCCCTACCTCTTCGCGACAGGGCGTTCGTTGCGATCAGGAATCTAGATGATGACCAGCTCACACGTTGGTTGAAGGCCGAAGTCTCAGAAGCCGTCAAGACAGGTGATATAGAAGGCATTGTCCTCACAGGTATCACAGACCAGATGGTGGACATACTCGCTAAGTACGTGGAGAAATTCCACGACATACAAAGCGCCATCCTCATCATGTCGATTTGCGCTCCGCGCTTCATCGACGACCACCGCTGCACGGCCTGGCGCAACGCATACAGAGCGTACCTACAGCGTCACAAAGCTTTCTTCCAGCGGACAAAGTTCGAGGTCGAGAGCACGAAGAAAAGCAAACCTGACGCCAATGGCCGACCGGTCATCAAGCCTCCGTTCAGACAAATCGCTCTCCGCTGCGTCTACTGTGATGCGGAGACTACTCTGCGGTCAGGGACAGGGGGTTCTAACTCGGCCGCTGGTATCTCAGGGCCTTTTACTTCGAACCCCCTGACGGACAAGGGGGCGAACATGGGCGGCATATCTTGCCCCAATTGCAAGCGCCACCTCCCGCGATGCGTCGTCTGTCTCGAGGTCGTGGGCATTGCGCGCTCAGACAAGCCCGAGGCGTCCAGCGACCTAGAGGTGCGGCTAGCAGCCAAGTTCCCGACCTTCTGTCTCAAGTGCGAGCACGTTCTGCATCTCGACCACGCGAGGCAGTGGTTCGCCCGCCATGTGGAGTGTCCGGTGCCAGAATGTCGCTGTAAATGTAATTTTAGGGCGAATCCGGAGTTGAGCTACCATTGAGGAGGCATGGGTTGACGTCGTTGAAAACGACTTATGCCAATTCTGTCCATTTAGCATATTTGTCAAGAGAACTTTTTACAATACCCGAAGCTATTGAAGGGACCCTTTAGCCACGATAGCTACAGGGGCTTGTTTCGCGTAACTTGATTTCTGAACCTGTAGATCCCTTCGTGTAAGCTAACCGCCTCGGAATTTCAAGAAATAATGAGGCGGGCAGGGAACTGGAAAAACTGACTAGCCCGCGATGGCTTCCGATCATCCTAACAGAACCCGATCGCTAGGTTTTGGCCTTTCAGATTCAATCACTCAAAAGCAACACAAATCTTTCGGGGCTTCATTTTCTTGGAAGATTCCAGCAGTTCAAAAAGAAGGACAATTGCTTTTTGGCTGGATATCTGTCTATACTGTTTCGTAAATTTTTACATTGAGTGAGAACGAAAGTCTTTCATCCTGCTTCTGCGTCTCCAGCAAAACAAAACGATCATCCATATTGCGTGTATCAGCCCCCCCTGATCGCCTTGGTAAACTCCTAAGCCCACATACGTGAATATATGAGCCGCTCGAAAATGCTGCAGACCGCCTCAACCCCCTTCGATTGAAAGGGGGAGAGGAAAGATTAAAATCAAAAACAATAAACCGCCGGAGGGATATGCATGTGTCCTGTTCGTCCCATAACCCCGGTGTATGCGTGTATGTATGCTGGTCCACCCACCCCGTGTCTAATAACCGAATACTCCTGGACAGCAAGGCCATACCTGTTGTGAACTTATTGGAGCATTGGGGGCTCTGCCAATGACTACCGATCACTTTGTCCCGTCATCATTGATGCCCTAGGATGCCATCCCATCCCCATTTGAGGCCTGCGCTGACTCGTCTCTACATCGTTTGCACATGCACCAGCCGCCAAGACTGCCTTTGGCCCATTCCCTCCTCTGTTGGACAGGCAGATCCACGTCACAGTAGTGGTTGAGGATCTCCTCTCCGGCCCTAATACCACCGGGCGCATTGCCTACAACTCTCGTCTCCCTTGCCCACAGCTTCATCCGGCCACCCCATTCCCATGTCACATTGGGATTACAGTCGTGGTTGGCGAGACACCAAAATGGATGCACGGCGGCAACATCCGGACGTCCGTCCCGAGTGCTCTTGCGGGCGGACGCTGTACCACGGAACTTGGCATAGCACGTATTGAGAACCCAGAGATCGTGCTCCGCCAAGGTGGCGTAGATGTCGATATCCATCTTCTCGAGGATATGCAGCGGCGCTTCGATGTTGTAATGGAACGAGAAGGGCAGTGTCCACTCGGGTGGAGGCCCTGCATTGAGGCTTAGGTCAATAGTATTGACCCGTGTCGGGACGAAGTCGCCCCATATATATTTGATCTCCTTAACCTCGAGTGGGTGACGCTCTTGATGCAACGACATAGCCAGCAGTCGCGCCAGCAACAGCAGGTACAGCGACTGGTCCGAATCGCGGGCATCTGGATCTTTGGCGATTGAGTCAACATCCTTTTCACATACTGCCGGGTGATAGAGCTCCTGCGCCTTGCCGAAGCAAAATTCATCGCAGAAAACGGTGTCACAGCCCTCCGGGCAGCTGACTGCCACTGAGTCCTCCCCTAGCGGCGGTAGATTGGTACCACAAGCATCGCAGATGGTATCCTTGAGCCGGTTGTTGGCGGTCAACAGCGAGTACTCCTGCAGAACCGTCTCGCCGGGTCCGATATCCTCTTTGGCGAAGACACCTAGCTGATCACAGGTGGGGATGATCTCGTAGCCGTCCGTCTCATGGTCTGCGCCGTCGAGCAGTACAGGGAGTTGGGATACCTGAACGATACATTTTGGGGCGATATTCGCTAGCTCGTTGTTAAGAAATGATAGCGAAGCCTCGGAGAAGCGGTCCGGCTCGTGGTCGTTCCATGGGTACACCTCCCGGCGGACGACACCCTGGTCCGGTAGCTCGTTGATATCGACGTCATCCTCGTCACGGATTCGTAGTCTTCGGCGGGCAACGGTCTGGATATAGCCTCTCGTCTCTAGAAGGTCTTGATTGCTTGACGAAGCGGCTAACCCACGTTCGCAGAAGCCATACGCGCTCTTCAGGCAGCCGCAAAGCAGCAGGCTGAGAGACAAGATCTGGTAGCACCGGACGGACGCTATAGCAGCCAGTTGCAGATGGGGCTCAGCCAGGCCAGCGGCACCATCAACAATGTTTGACTCAGGAGAGCCATGGCGAAGAGGGCCAGAACGCAGGATGGCCGGGGGAGGGTCCACCGTGTAGTGCTGGAGGCTCTCTACGGCTTGCTGATGATACTCGAAGCTCTCATCTCTTACCTCGTCGGTGAGTAGGAGAGCGCGGTAGGCATCGCCGGCAGCGAGGTCCGGATAGCCCAGCTCGGAGTAGACGGCGGCCCGTTGCAAATAGAGAATAAGATCGTACGGGGCGTCCGCAAGCGCGTCGGTTAGCTGCTCGCGGTTCTCGAGCAGCGGGTCGAGCCAGGAGTTTGAGTTTGTGTCGGAGGAGGTCGTTAGAGCAGTGCCATTGCTGCTGGTGGTATTGCTATTGTGATGTTGGGCCTGGCCGTGGCCGAGACCGTCCATCGCGGGGGGGAAGACCTGGACAACGTGCGCGGCGTGAGTGGTGGGAGAGCAGGGAGGCGAGGGAGATCATTGCGCGCAGTGAAATGGGCCGGTCTAGAAAAGCCAGCGAGGTGCGCCGTTGCGTCGCCGTCTGGCTTAAGGCTTAAGTGCAGGCCAGCAATAGCACCTTATCCAGCCCTGCCCTATTATGCTAATGATTTGTTAGGTCAGTCAGTAGGAATCTGAGTGAGTGTGTGTTTCTGCCTTATGTATTAGCTACTGCCCTTTTTATTTATTTTTTTATTTATTTTTTTCTCTCATCCTCGACATTTCCTGGGGCTTAAAAAAAAAGAGGACCCCAAGGCTTGACGGCGCCAGTGGAGAGGCAGGCACGACCCGCGGCGCCAACCTTACTTGACGGGTAAGAGCACAGCAGAGAAGGGCAAAAGAGAGGACCCGATCTTCTCTTTCAGAGGCAAAAATCTAACATGCGCAAGAATGACCTCGACATGGCGAAGCACGTGGAAAAGGGCAAGAGCATGGCGATCACATACATACAGCACACTGATTTCCACTGAATATTTCCCGATCTGCGTCTGTCTGCCACAGTCACGAGGGCGGTAGCCGCAGAAGAGCACGCTACAGATGTGCGTGCTTGCTGCAGTGGGCAGACTCCTACAGTAGACTCCTTCGCAAGGGTCCCTACCCCCAGGTACAGGTGCTGTACATTTGCAGCCTCCTCAACATGCCGAACTTCAGCTAGTCCAGCCATCCTCTCCTGTCTACTGTACCGGCCTTTGTACCCAACTATGGTACCCACCTGGGTACTTTATTGAGGCGATCGTTACTGGACTCTTTACCTTTCCTAATCTTTGGATGTGAGTACATCCGTCGTTTTGTCCGGCGTGCGCGCTAGGAAGTCGACAGCCGTATCAGAACGCTGGGGGCGACCATCAAACTACATCTAGGGCCCGCTGCCCCAAAGAAAACGCTCAAGAACGAAAATCAGTCGTACCAAACCGGCCCCGGGACGAGCATCTCCCGTCTTTAGTTCTGCTAGTCTGACGAACGAGAATTCTCTGTTCCCTCGGCCTATGGCTATGGCCTATGGCTATGCCAATGCCTACCCATCCCATGGGATTTCGGGAAGTGGTACGGCAGAGGGTACTCTGCTCTCTGGTGTCTAGGTAGGTATACACGGCTGTCAAGGGAGCACAGGTTGGTCAGGTCGCTCGCTCCCCGTGTTCAAGTTTGACAGGGAGAAGTAGCGGTGTCTCTCTCTATTCATGCATTTTCACCACACGCGGGATTATATCAGACCATTGCTGTAGTACCGTCAGGATGACGGAGTGAGGACAGTACAGAGAGCATCCATGGATTGAGGGGCCGTAACCTCCAGCGTATCAGCGGAGAAAACGCACCGGGTGCGACTTGCGCCACGCATCCTAACAGGGCGCACAGAGATGCCCCGCAGCAGACCCTTGGAACCCGGACCCCTGAGGATTGGCAAAAAGACCCTTCGAGACCCCTAACGAGACAGGGTTCTTGTCTTCCCACTCAGGAGCCCCTCAGGTGTGCCCCTCAGGTGTGCCCCCTCAGTGCAGCCATGGTTGTTAACGCTCCCTCAGCCACTAGTTATAAGGATAGCATCATTTAACAGCTGCTTAGAGGCCACTTGAAGCGCAACGACTCCCAAAAGAAGATCGAACCAGCAAGACGACTGATCTTCGTACAGTGCATGGTGGTAAGACAGCGCTTGACGGGACTGGAATGGGTTTCATTCTGTGGTCCGATATCAGAGCCTCTCGCTTGGCAAATCGCACTAAAATGGCAACATGGTTTCTAGGAATTTTGCTTTTTGACGATGACCATGTGAGAAGACTGAGCGGGCTGTCATGTTTGCAATTGCATGCGGCATGTCTCCAAATGCCACATGGTCTCAACGCCAAAATGGCTTCTTCTTTGTGTAATCTATTCTATGCCTCCAATGTTTCTATTCCGATGATGGCGGCTGAACTTGTTCCAGCGGTCCTCTAACCCAGCCTGATCCAGTCCAATTGACTCAGGGGTCGGTATGCAGGCAGCCTCGTACTCTGGATCATACCTTTGTGCTCTTGCAGGTGTTTTATATCCACGTTCCGCAAGCCTATATTATTTGAACCGGCCTTTGAAACATGTTGCACCCTACTCTTCAGGACCCAGCAGGTCGCCCAGCTTGGTCACGTAGTACTTCGGCACAGTCTGCGCATCCTCCTTCTCCCAGTCCTCCTTCTTGCTCACGCCCGTAAGCACCGCAAGAGTGCCTCCCAGCTTGCCGTCGATGCCGAACTGGATGTCCGTGTCCAGGCGGTCGCCGATCATGCACGTGCGCGCCCTGTCCAGCTTCGCAAACGCCTCGACGGCGTCCATCATCGCCTGGCTGGGCTTGCCCATCGCGAGCGGCGTCTGCTTGGTCATGTTCACCAGCGGGATGGAGATGGAGCCCGCGCCGGGGAAGAAGGCGTGGTTCATGGGCAGCGTGCTGTCGAGGTTCGTGGCCAGGAAGACGGCGCCCCGCGACAGGTACTGGTACGCCGTCGCGAGCTTGAGGTAATTGATGTGGAAGTCCAGGCCGGCGAGGACTACGCCGACGTCCGGGTCCAGCAGCGAGCCGTTGGACAGGCCGGTGAAGTCGTCGTCCGTGATGTCCCTACGGAGTGAGGGGTCGGTGCCGCCGATGAAGGGCACGCCTTCCGAGCGGAGCTCTTCTTCTATGCCGGCCTCGCCTATGACGAAGACTTTGTTCTTCGGCGCAGGCTGCTTCAGGATGCGGTTGATGTAGATAGCTGACGAGTAAGCCGATCCAAAAATATCATCTACCGTGCTCGGTATGTTCTTGGACGACAACTTTTTGAGATACTGTGACCTCGACTTGGTTGAATTGTTTGTGACAAATACAGTCTTCTTTCCTGTATGTATGAATGAATGAGCAAAGATCCTAGGATTTCTTATGTCTTGTCGTGTGGAGTTTCGGACCTTTACTTCTCAGCAACTCAATGGTCTCTACCACCCTCGGGAACAGATGCTCGCCAGACCACAGAACACCTGAAGAAGTGCATGATTAATGGATAATATCCCGGTATTTGCCTTGATTTTCCAGAGCCATACCATCGCAGTCTATTAAGAATGTCTAGGACGATGGTAAGCAACCGGCAATTACAAGAGGGGAAAATGACGCACGTCAAAGCTGTTTAGAAAGTCTTCGATAGCAGAAGCGTCTCCCGTGAGACATTTGGATGATTGAGTAGGGGCCATATTCGACACTGTATAGGAGATGGGAGGTAGACCCCGAAAGCGAGAGCACGACACGTGAACACGGTGAGGTTAGGAGTGTAGGTGCTCGAGAAAGCATTTGAGCTCTGAGAGGCTCGCCCTCCTTAGTCACTAGACTAATCAGATAGGCCTGGTGTTTTGAAGTACCAAGAATTACCCACATTTAAGACTTGCGCAACAGGCATGATTGGCCTTACCTGCCCTGCCGTGAATCGAATTGTAGGTGAGTTGAAGGGAACAAGCAGATAATCATTGGTCCATGCTGCCGTCGTTTGAAGTGATGGGAGATACCTCAGCCATTAAGTATGCGATGATCTTCCTCCCGGCTCTACAGGAAATACAATATGGTCTGCAGCAACTGCTATCCAGAAACACCTGGTCGGAACTGAAGACAGGCACGGTAAGTCGTCTCAATGAATGGTAAATACGATACCATCGAGCTCTTCATACAAGCTGAACGAACGGCCTGCCCCTCGATGACGACATACCCAGGTTCGCTGCCCCACCACGAATGGCGATTGCTGTACGAGCGAGAGCGACGATGGCTGCTGGTGCAAAAAGCATGAAGCTTGGCTTTTTGTCGTGCTAGGCTAGGAACAGCACGAACTGAGTCGGCAGCTACTGTAGAGCCTTATCTTTAGAGTTCATCTGGTGTTGGCAATTTGTCGCGTAATAGATACCGAACCTTGTGAGCTTGGGTGATCCTCTCCAGTAATTTACATCAGGATGCCCCGATCCGCGCCAGGATCAAAGTCTTAGTGCAGCGTCGCCCTATCGCTTGATCCATGTATCTAGCTCGAATGAAAATCATGAGATAGAAGGGCTCCTAGATAATAAAAACTTCTTGTCTACGACATGTTAGGGCCGGTTGGGCCTGATTGAAGAGTGCTTGTTAACGACTGGCTGGTGGGGGCTGGTCAAAGTTCGCCTGCATCCACCGCTCTGCTTTCTTCCCGGGCAGATGGCGCCCAGGCAATCGCCAGAATGCGGTGAGCGATTACATGTAGGGACGGAAGAGAAGACCGGTAAGAGCATTGTCGTACGATTTCTACATCAGCAATTGCTCTTCGATGCTGGTTCCAGAACATGACAAGTCTCTTTGGGAAACCAGACACTTGAAGGTGAGGTAGGGCTTGACACCCCCCTCATACAGAATGTGTATCTGCTCACCAGTCACCGCCCTCATCAACTCCACTAGAGGTGAAGGGTCTGCCTAACGTGGCCCTCGTCCCGAGCGACAGGCCTCTATCAGCCTGTCTGCTGAGTAAAATGCATGTCAGGAGTCGATGCAGTGTGAGATATGACATACATCACACCCCACCAAGGGCCGGCAGAGCGTTCCCCTGGCCGTTGCGAGTGTACCGTCCTATATATTTGTATCTTAGCTGGGGTCTTCGTCCGAGTAAGCGTGTCCTATTCTTGAATTATATCACGACTTGGGAAAAGAGATCGGCAAGAAGCCTATGTGATTTCAAGAGATAGACGCAGTGCCTTGTTTTCCTCAATCTCAATCCCGGAAAGTAGCTCCTGTTGGAACTTGATGAGCCTTGTGGCGTTATCGCCAGTGTGGACCGCGCTGCCGGGTTCGTCCCGCTTTAGCCTCTGAGAGTCATGTAGAGTATACCTCACCATTTCTTCACGACGTCACTCCTCCATCAGTCGAGCTGGCTTCGGCTGGAGAGCTCAGCTCCATTGAAACAGTAGCACAGCAGGAGGAAGAGGCTACTAGACTAGCATCTCTTTCTACCCGTATGGCCCACATGGAAATGAAGCAACTAAGAAAAGGCGAGGGCATCGGCCATGTGAAAGAGAAGCGGAAGAGGGGCGCAAAGCCACACAAGCCAAGATGGCGAAACGGGGCAGGGATGGATGATGGGCAGATCCAAGACACAAATACAGAAATAAAACAGTAGCACCGCCTCACCGTCCACTCAAAGCTCCCCCTCCTCGCCCACCACCGACCTGCATCTGTCCCTCTTCTGCACTGACTATCAAATGTGAGTGAGTGTGTGAGTGATATCAACCACAGGCAGGCACCGACTGACTCCAACTCGACTTCATTCGCCGCTGATGATCCGTTCTCCTTCTACCTTTGTGTTGTTTCTTCTCCTCAAATTCGCCTCACCATCAAAAGGACAAGTTCATCAGGAGCCTGGTTACATATATTGCCGACCCGAACGCAGCGTAGGCTCTGTTGTTGACCCTGATAAGCCGCTGTATACCTTCCTTACTCTGCTGCCCAGGTGGTCAATGCCACCATCCTGGCTGTAAACCCAGCGCTACGCCAAGAAGCAGACGGCATACGCATCCGGGACGGCGAGCCTTGCAGACCTGCAGCGGGAATAACGAGAGACACAGGAGACGTCTCACAAACATTCATCAATCTCGGTGCATTGCATGTTTGGGTGGTCGCTTCCAGGATCAGAAGACAAGCCAGCTTTTTTTTTTTTTTCCTATGCTTGAGATTGGAGTGATTCCGCCGTTATCGATTAAAATCCACGCACCACGCACCACCTACCTAACCTAAGGTACAGCACCCCACCTACGTACCTACCTTGTCCTCCCACGGGAAAGCTCAGCAATTTCCCACCCTAACCACCCCTCCTCTTCCTCCACCACGATCTCCAATCTTGGAGTACTCCTTAGTAAGACTCTCTATCTTTTCCGTACTTACTCGTCTTTTTTAGCTTTCGTGTGCCGCTTTCTTCTTTGGCTACGATCTGACCGCAGTTCTTCTTCAGACCTTTCTCATCTTCTCTCCTCCCGGTCTCAGTCACAATGGGCCACCAGTCGAACCTCTATCCCTTCCCCACCACCGAGGCGCTCGCGCCAGCCCTGCGCGCATATGTGATCCAGTCCCAGGAGGCAGGCATCACTCGACACAACGCGTTCAAGATCGCCGTCTCCGGCGGCTCACTACCCAAAACCTTGGCGCAGGCGCTGCTAGCACCCTCAAGCGGTCCGAACGACGAGGTCAAGTGGGACAAGTGGGAGATATTCTTCGCCGACGAGCGTGCCGTACCCCTCGACCATGAGGACTCAAACTACGGCCTGCTGAAGAAGGAGCTGCTAGACAAAATCCCTGCCGAGGCCGGAACGCCGACGGTACACACAATCAACACGGAGGTTCTCAACGACACGCAGGAGCTAGCGGACCAGTACGAGCAGGTCCTCGTCAACTCCTTCGCCAGCCGCGACAGCGTCCGGCTTCCCATCTTCGACCTGCTGCTATTGGGATGTGGCCCTGATGGCCATACATGCTCACTGTTCCCCGGCCACGAGCTTCTGCGAGAGACAAACGCCTGGGTTGCGCCAATCGAGGACAGCCCAAAGCCACCCCCGAAACGTATCACCCTTACCCTACCCGTAGTCACCCACGCCGTGCGTGTTGCCTTTGTCGCAACGGGCGGTGGAAAGAAGGACATCATGAAGCAGATCTTCGAAGAGGGCAACGGGCTGCCGTGTGCACTGGTTAACGAGGCGACAGGTGACCGGTGCAGCTGGTTTGTGGATGAGCCTGCCGTACAGGGCGTCAGCTACCCGAAGCGAGGCTTCAATCTGTAGGGCAGGAGGAAGGCATCGTGGGCAGCGGCTTTTGAAATCAAGGATGAAGGAACGCCTGGTACCGCGGCTGCGAGACGTCGATGCCAGAGCCTCTCTTCACCAGACGGTTGACGGACCAGGTCGAAGGAACATTGACGATCTGATTCCAACTAAATCTGATATCCTGCATACTGGAAATTCTAGAACGGTCATAGGCAGTTGGCATGACCTTGGGGGGGTAGAGAGCGGGGATGACTCAGGGGCAGGTTGCATTCGCTGACGTACTTCTCTTCTATTTTCACTATTTCTCCTTTTTTTCCCACCCGGGAAACCTTTTTGAGCTTTTGATATCCACCAAATTACTTCACGAGACAAGAAGATTCATGATGAGATCTATGAGATGGCTCTTTGCTTCCGACAGTTTATCGGACTCTCTCTACAGCCACCAACCATGGAAGTAGATAGATAGCTTTTCTCAGGAAAAGATTACAGCCCCTGTTTCATAGACCAAATCTGCAGTCAACAGCCACTGCATCTTAAAAGCGGGTTAGGGATAACATAGAACATTGATCATAGAGTTCAAAGTCCGAAGATGTGCCTGCCTGCTTCTCTGGTGTACAATGCTCGAGTTTTGCCACACGAAGGTGAAGTGTTATTCAACCTGACTTCACCTATCTGCCTACAGCATTGTATTCCTGGTATATTTAGAGAACCCCTTGCTATCTAACTATTGTACAAATGATGCGCATAGTCCCATTTAAGAGCTGCATATTGTTCTATATCAATCTATTGCCATGCATCTAATTTGCCAGCTGTGTGCTACTTAATGTACTCTCTCATACTTCCATTCTCAAAAGCCATGTATTTATCTATTTGCCAACCCTCTTCTCCCTGATAAAGAAAGCCAACACAAACGCCAGAGTCAACGGGATCGCACACGATGCAAACACCGTGAGGGTGGCGGTCTGGTAGCACGAGCGCACGATGTCTGCAATGTGCGGCTCCAGCTGTTTAATGTAGTCGAGGCTCTCGCGGACGCGCTCCTCGATTGCGAGGGCGGCGTCGCCGTCGCCGAGGCGGGCAGCCAGCTGCGTGCGCAGGACCTGCTGCAGCACGGCCGAGGTGACGCTGATGCCGATGGAGGAGCCGAGGGCGCGGAAGAGGTATGAGCATGCGATGACTATGGCTGCATCTTCTTTCGCGGCGTTGGAGATGAGGCCGATGACTGTAGAGTTCCAAGTTAGCTCTTTACTGCGCAACAAATAAGCAGTAATCAAGAGATGACGCTTGTCTGCTCAAACCCCGCTGAAGCATATTTCTTGGGAAGACCTTGCACTCAAGTAACTTACGTGTGGTGGTGATACCTGGATGAACGTTAGATAATGCTTCTGCAAATAAGCTGCCAGGCATCTCAAGGGCCACACTCACCAGCTCCTGATCCTGTTGCAACCAGTGCAAGGGCAACAGTACTTCCAAGCTTCGAGTTTACAACAAGCCCTGAGAATAACAACAGAGGCACGACGCTGAAGAGCAGCAGCCCAAATGAAGCCACTGTGATCCAGTAATACCGTCCGGTATGTCGGATTACAAACCCGCCGCCCAGAGATGCACTGACACCCGCGACCGAACCGGGAATGAGTAGCAGGCCCGCCTGCACGGCCGATAGCCCATCGACGGCCTGGTACACGAGCGGCAGAAAGAACAAGACTGGCATTTGCCCAGCTATACCGAAGAAGTTGCAGAGGAAGCAGGCGAACAGCGAGCGTTCAAATATAATGTGCCCCGGGGCGAATGGGTGCGAAGCCACACGCATCTCGACCAACACGAAGAGAAAGACGAACACAGGAGTCACTGCCAACGGGGCGACGGTAAAGTAGTGTCGCCACCCTTCGTTGCTGCCATTATCGAGCCCAACAAGAAGGCATAGAACAGCAGCCACCAAAAACAAGGCACCAAGAAAGTCGACTTTGGCCAGCTTCTCGCGCCAGTGGGAGGTGTCTTTCTTGGGGAGATCGAGGACAAGGTACACTGCGATGAAGGCGACAACGACGAAGGGAACTTGACCGAGGAACGACCACCGCCATCCAACCGACTCCGCCAAAAGACCACCAAGAGGGGCTCCGGTTGCTGTACCGGCGGCGAATATGATGTTCAGGTAGCCTTGCCATATGCCACGATCCCGTAGCGGCACTATGTCGGTCAGTAAGATGCTCACAACAGCATTCATTCCACCTCCACCAATGCCTGCAACACCGCGTGCAATGATCAGTTGCACTATGTTCTGGGCCAGTCCGCAGCCGAAAGACCCCAAGGCGAATACGGCGTAGGCAAAGAGCAGGCACTCTTTCCGTCCGAAGATATCGCTCAACTTTCCATATAACGGTTGGCAGCATGTCAATGCCGAAAAGTATCTACATAACGTATCAGAGACGATACACCTCGTCGATATGACTTTCTACTCACGCGGTAGCAATCCAGCTTGTGCTGTTCAATGCTTTCAGGTCACTTCCAATCTTCGCATATGTGGCCACAGCTAGCAACTGATCGAGCGCACATAGGAACAGCTAACGTCCACAGGGGATTAGTACACCGGGCTGAGAAACAAGCAGCAACATAGGTCGAGTAGGAGCTCACACCAATCCCGAGGGCGGGCATCAGTAAATGCATCTTGGCAGCCATCTCCGGCAATCCCTCCCGGATGACTTCATCTCCGGAGCCCGGGGCGGCACCGCCATTCTCGGCGTCGTCGGCTACATCCCCCGCCGTGCTAGAGCTTGCGGAGTCGGCAAAAGTGCCATTTGACTTCACGGCTTTGCCATTGTTGGCTTCGGGCACCTCGGCACCTATTAGAGGACTTGTCTCGGTGGCTCCGGAAGCATCGGAGACATGGGCTTCTTCGTCTCTCATTCTCTGAACGATGATTGACGTAACGAGAGTCGCAAGAGCGGCAACCTCCACAACTCTGTGAACGTAGGCTGAACTCACGATAAGCGGCTCCAGGTATCAAATGATGCTCAGGAACAGAGAGAGATGTAAAATACACAATTGGAAAGTGGATTTTAGGCGGCAGCTAAAGCATGGCAGCTCATCAGCAGTGCGCTCCCATGTTACCATTGCACACTATCTCCGAATAAGGAGGAGGTGGACATCGCTGTGCATCATTCTGCGGGGACTTGACTACATCGAGTTCCATTGTGCAGAGATAAGGCACAAGTGCCTGCCACCTACACTAGGTTGACTTCAAACGCCGATCTCCCGGTTGTCTGTTGATAGGAATCAACTGCTTGCAAAGCAACACTTGCCAATTGCAGTGTCAGTTGAAGAGGCGTGAAGTGAAGTGCCTTTTCGAATACTTGGAGATTCATAAGCTGGAGAATGCTCTAGCAGTGTCAGCACCTTATCTCTGTCTGCCGTCCCAACTGCCACTTGAAGCAACATTGACAGGAGCACATGCACAGTGGCAGAGGACTAGCAGACGAGCCAAGCTTCGAAGCCGGAAGCGCGATTCATCAGGACTTGTGTGAATTGTAAAGAGAAAACACAGCAGGACACTTCAGAACACCAAGAATCATCACCTCTGATGAATAGTTGGCGGTTATGCCAAGAAGTTCGAAAATGAACACCGCGCATGTCTCAACGGAAGCCACACCCACGCCCGCGGTTTCGCGATTCACCCCCTAATCTCCACAGCACTCAAAAAGCCACTAACAGCCACTATGCCGCGATCCCGCAGCCTCCCACGAGTGGGCAGGGGTGTTGTTGCTCGCCCAACTGCGGCAGAAGGTTCGTGATCGCTTCCAAGTTAATCTATTTCCTGTTGTGCAGCATACGGCATACGGGATCAGCACGGCTTGACGCAGGTCCAGATTCGCCGTTGCATTTGGATATATTCGTGTCCTTGGTCCCCGACATTGATTCATTACTAAAGGCAGAGAGGTACCTGACATTGCGCCCGCAAGCCTTCCATTTATCCTTGCGCCCGTGCCCGTGCCCACACATTCCATCTCGTGCAAATGCAAGGCAATAATACATTGCATCGGTTGAGCCACCCCCA